TAATGATGGAAAGTAAAACAGCAATAAATGATTGAAGCCAGTACAGCAAAAGTTTTTATCATCTGGAACCCAGAAGCTAACATAGGTATCTTGCTGCGATGAACTGAAATGCCATGTTTTTCTGCCTGGTCATTGAGTTTGTAGCAAGAAATGTGCCTAGTTTGGGTGAGGCTGTTACTGGATTGTATGTCCGGGAAAGGGGTAATGGGTGTTTTGTAATGGGGCAGCTAGTGCAAGGTGCTGTTGTGGGTTAGAGATGAATCTGTTGGATATTGGTGTGTTTGGTTTGGGAGCCAGCCCAGAATGCTAAATATGGGTAGGGGGTTTGTGCTGGAGATGGCAACGCTGACAAAGGGACTACTGAATTCGGGACGGGGATGCTTCTACTCCTGGCAAGAGCTCGATTCAGGCCATATCTCTTTCCCATGCTCCAGAGCTGAGTGCAGTGAAAGATGAAAGCTTTACTAGAATTGGTTAGGAGTGGGAGCAGAGCAGGAAGAGAGTGGCTGGAGACATGGCACCCAAGAAGGCAAGTACCCTCCTGGGTCCTGCTGCTTCCTGACTGGTCTATTCAGCTGCTAGTGCAGGACCACACATCACTCAGAGTCTTGGGTTTAACTCCACATTTTGTACCTTTTTTGTTTTCAAAATCGTTTTGGGGGTGCTCGCTCATATTTGGCTTCACTTCAACCACCCTTTCAATTGTTGAGGACTATTACTAGTAATAGAATAAATTGTATTGTTTGTCGCGTTACCAAAAATTTTGCAGAATTAATATAGTTGCTGTTACAAATAACACATGGCACAGCTAAAGAATAAAATAGGAAAGCAAAGTAAGACAGTATCAAAAGTGTAAAAGTGGATTTCTGGGTAAGATTTCTAAAGGTATGGAGAATTATGCAGGCAAAGATGCCCAGAGAAACTTGCCAGATGGCAGAAGCTGCAAAATAGAAGCATCAACTTTGATGAGATCTTGGAATGGACAAAAAAAGGCAAGTGTTAAAAAAGTGGGACAAGGTCTTTGACTCTGGCAAGAGTAAGTTCCCAGAGAGTTTCAAGACAAGGAGGACAATTTTAAATTGCATCCAAAATGAGCAAAGAGCCAGTGGAGTGGCTGGAGGATTTTGTTGATTAAGTTGTATTTCTTTACACGTTTAGGAGCAGTTGTCATGTACTGACACCTGGAAAGCTGGATGCAGGGTTTGGACCAGAACAGAATACGGGGTTAAATAGTCAAGACTAATCATTTCATGAGCTATCTCTTGTTGGGGACTGCTCACAGGTATTTGGATACATGTACACAAAACAGTATTGTGGGAGCTTTCCTAAAAATAAAGGAAAATGTGTGGGTTTTCTCCTCATCTGCTTGGTTGTTTCTGCCACATCTTATTGATGTCTTGCTTTCACAGTGAGCTGATGTTATGAAGTATTTATATCCATTATCATTGCAGTCATCATGTCATCACCTGATTCTGTACAGAGTGAGGCATGACTGCTATTTTGAGGAGGGAATTGATCTCTTCATGGTTGCTGTGGCTAGTTTAGCATCTTGCCTACTGGCATCACCTCCTGCGCACATCACATTCACATAGTTTAGCGTGACTGTAAGCCTCAAAGATGCCAGCAGTTGATTGTTACCTCTGATCACATATCGTCTGCATCCATCCTTCTGATGCAGCAGAATCTCTCACTGACACTCTAGCATTGCCATTCATATTTTCCTAAGATGTCAAACTTTTACATGTTGTATAGAAAAATGGCAAGTAATTGGAGAGAGAAATACACACAGGTTGAGAATGATCTACAGATGGGTAGTATATAGAGAGAGCAGAGAATGCTCTCTTATTATATCAGATGTCTGGCTATCCTAGAAAAATGAGAAGTCGCCTTCAGAAAAGTGTAGAGGCCCAGGAAAATATTTGTGTGAGGTGCATTGGTAGCCCTAGTTGTAATGTCAAACTTAACATATAGTTGAACATCCTTATAAATTTGTGTATAGACTTTTGTGCAAATTATTGTTGTATATAGTCTTTATGTAGGCTCTAAGTGGGGCAAAATCAACAGTTCAATCACCCTAAAGTGGGACCATTATGAAATAAGTGGTAACTCACCAATTACCACCAGGCTGGTGCAGCTAATTTACTGTAAACAGCTTATTGGATGTAAAGCATATGAAGGATACTAAGAGTTTTCAGTGCACATGTCTACACGAGATGCTACATTGTCATAGCGTTGGCAGACAAAAACCAGGATGCCACAACAACATCATCGTAGCCACAGGCATCTAAAAATAACCATGCAGCTAAATATAGCGTAGCTAAAAATAACCGTATGCCATGGGCATGGCACAGTAACGGCTGTTACAATGGCATCGTAGGGGCACATGTAGATGCACCCATTGCTAGATGAATTGACCCAGCTCGCTCTACCCTTTAATACTTCCTTAGCCACATTCTAACTTGGGCTTCTATTGCTTTACTGTGCATGGAGACAGCACTTGTGGGAGAACTGGGAAAAGTGGAACATCTAAGAGTCCAGAGACATTAGAACTGATTTTTTGTAGGGATTACGGCCGATGTTGTGGAGGAATTTGAAGGCAAGAATAGGAGCCTCAGAGTGGTAGGGTTGCCAACCCTCCTTGATTAGCTGGGAGTCTACTGGAATTGGAATCGGTGACTATTGAAAGGAATTTGGAAAATAGATACTGTGAACAGGTTGAACAGTACCATTAATAACATTACGTCATGTTCGGGAAAAAAAATCTCCCAGAGTTGCTTCAGTCAGAGTTGGCAACCCTAAGGGGTGGGTATCCCATTCATAAAGGCTGTCAAGAAAAGGTATTTTGGCCTGTGTCTGCATCAGCCCCCATAAGCTCAGGCTTAAAACCTATTCAGGTATTTCATGGCAGTGTCCCTTTCAGTAATGTAGGGCACAACATGGCTTCCAGCTCAATTGTTTTCATACTTGCTACAGCTGCACATACTTTTTTGAAAAGTCTCGTTTGCCCAATGAGCATTTTGCACCAGCTTTAGGGCATTGGTGTAGGTACACAGGGTGGAAGGTACTGCAGTGATATAAAAAGTGACTTGCAGAGTCACTTCTGACTTGAAGCCATGCATACCACTCTTTTTCATACAGGTGGCGGACAGGTTTGTCCTAGTGGAGCACAAAACACATACAAGGCCTAATGGAAAACAAGGGATGCCCTCACTCCTATCAAACTGATTTAGGAGCAAGTTCTCTGAAGACTGACATATCCTCAGAATGTTTCCTGGGTAGCATCGGTAGAAGCTACGCATACCACGCTGCCAATATGTCTCTTCTTTGTTCACATGGTCTGTCTACTGGGAAATTCATTTTCTACTATACTTTCAGGCTTTGGCCTCTGCTAAGCCTGTCAAGAAAGCTCCCAGCTACAGTCCTGGTTTGAGCACAGTCAAAAATTGCAATCGTTTAAACTTTTTTGCCAAACCTTTGTTTGAAAAGCTTAGAAGGAAACCCCTTTCCAGACCCAGTTCTGGAGCCAACAGAGACTTTGGCTTGAGAACTGTGGTTCCAGGGAGATGTGCCTTGCTGCATATTTTGCTGATTATTGTAGCAATACACACAAAAAACCCTAATATTATGCCAATTTTTGGCATTTCGGAGAGATATACCTTCATCTTGCTAACCAGATTGCTTTTGAGGTAATTAATTCAAAGTAATCAACAAATCCTGCATGCTCCAAGGAGTTGGTGTGCCAAACCAGTGTGATCAAGGATCCTTGGATTCCACGCAGGACCTTGGACTTATCACCTAATTGCTCTGCCCTAGTGTACTCACTTGTAAGTCAGCTTTGCCTATCTGTAAACAAGTGTGCTCTGATCAAGATCTCCTCGCAGCAGGCCCGTTCTTTGGCCAGTGTAAATTAACATAGCATAGGTCAAGTGCAGCTATAGCAGGCTATTACAGAAGCTGAGTCTCTGGCTCATTAATTGTAGAATAATTTTTTCTTGACTTTATTGGGAACTGTCAGAGCCACAGCAAAATTGTAAACGTTGCCCTAAACTTTCTCCTCTGGTTTGGCTTCTTCCGGCATTTCCTTGCAATGGCTTATCCATCCAAAGGTCAGGTTCCCTAGGATCAAATTGGCACTTCCACCTCCTTTTATCCTCAAGGTCAAAAAGACATTCCTGATGCAGTGAGTCAGCAACTGCCATCCCAGCTCCAGAACCTGAAAAGCCCTGCCTCTTTCATACCATCTGGAGCTTGATATATCCATGCTTGCCACTTAATTCAGTCCTTGGCTTGGATAATTAAATCTTTACTAAACAAATCACAAAATTAAAAATAAAACATCCAACATTTATTTTGATTGTTTTAGGCAGTTAGTTATTGGATTAAAAGACTCGCTGTTGCTAGTCCAAGTAATTGAATTACTTATTGCTTAGTTATCACCAATGGCCAAAATACAGAATAAGTTGAAAGAAAGGACTCTCAGGAAAGATAGGCATGATAATAGGAGCTATAACCAAACACGGGGTTGTTCACACTTTGTCATTAACATTAGCAATGCTGTCATGTTCTACAGAGACTGTTATCTATCCACCTTGGTAATCGTATGCCTAACCAACAAAAAAAGCATCCCTTCAATGAAGGGGACAGTAATACATTTGAAGACAGCTGTATAAAAATACTTGCTTACATCATAAATCATCATGAGAGAGTTTGGATGAAATATGGTATAGTGGGGCAATTATTATCTATTTGTAAACTCTTTTTTTTCTAACACTTCTGGGTTATAACATAGATGCTCCGAGTGGCTGGATAGACGATGGCCTAACCATTGTTCAGTGCATCTCAACTTCTATCTCCCTAACAATTAACGTTAAATGTAATCACACCTGGCTTAAGTGTCACTCACTGACCTGTCATTGATTTCCCCCCCCCCTTTGTTCTTTGCCTACCTTATGTTTATGGGCTTACTCATGAATGCAGCGTTTCTTTTACTTTTGCTCCAGAGCCTAATAGCATGAAGCTAACATGAAGTCACATCACACACCCTACTGCAGAAGCATCACGTGACATGTATGTGATGTGTTGCTCAGCGTGGGGGAGCCAGTGGGAGGCTGTTTTCAATATGATGTGCTGTCTAACAGGTCATAAAAACCACTTTTCTGAGTTGCTTATTAAAAATAGAAAGGGTATTGATTTCCCACCCTCCCATCATTCAACTGAATGATGTTATGGTGACACTTTTCTGTATCTTGGATTTGTGCCTTCTAGGGAAGGCCTGTACTATGTATGTGCTCAGGTTCCATGGGGCTCCTTTGTTGCTGATGAGATTAACAGAAGGTGGAAGGTGCCTGGGTTCATTCCTTCTTTTTTTTTTAGCTTGTCAGCAACAAGCCAAATGCCAGTATTTATAGGAATAAATTATGACTAAAATAATTTGCATTTAAAATGCAAATGAACAAAAGCGTCAGTGAGGGGCCTTCTGCTTTCTTCCTGGTGCACAGGCGGGTACTGGCAGCAGCTCAGACCAGCAAGGCAGTCAGTATAAAATAAAGTTAATTGGACTTGCTGAAAAATCAAACAGGCTTGGCCTCACGCTAATACCCAAGTCTGTGATTTAATGTGACATTGGAGACGAAGGACTGGGAAGGTGCTGAATGACTGACTAAACCAATCAGCAGAGCTGTAAATTATGCTTCTGAGATTCCCAATGGCAGATTGAGAGGGTCCAATAAAATCACAAGGGTGAATAAAACCTAGCATGGAAGCAATTTGTCAAGATTTCTAGGCTTACATCAATTAGAATTTAAGCTCCATTGTTCTCTCTCTCTCTCTCTCTCTTCCTCTCTTTCTCTCTCGCTCAAAATTTTCTATTTTAGCAGTATTTGAATGCCAACTTGAGAATGCAGATCTGTGCATGGGGAAAGCTGCCTTACAACCAGTGCAACTGAGTGTTCTACCAAAATAAAAAAATTAAATTGAGAAAACAGTGCCTGTCTGAACATAGTATTTTCTTGTCAAAGACCTGGATTTGTTTCTCAATCCAATATCGTATCTGGGCCATTAGTTACTGTGGGAACAGTAGAGGGAACACTGTTGATCCCCTCTGCTGAAGGCAGGCAGTAGCAAAGAGAATCTGATCCCTGGTTCCTCTTAGCTGAAACACAATCACTGTAATGTAAGGAGCTTGAGGGAGGGAAAGTGGGATGAGCCTTGTTAAACTCCCTCAAAACAGTTACCTCATTCAGTGTTTCAGGAAGGGAGGGTTGCAGTTATTTCTGCCACACCTCCTAAAAGTCTCTGCTGATTTCAGTTATTGGTCTACCTAGTCATCAGTGGCAAATGGAAAATACAGCTGTATCTAGGAATGGAAACAGAACAAATATGTTAATAAAATCAAGATGTTTCTCTCCTTATAGTATGTTCCTCCATGTGATAGATAAAAAGGGGACAATAAGGTGTTACTCTTGTAATAAAAAATGACCACAGTGTATTCACCCATTTAATATCTTGTCTCTCTGTTCTCTCTTTATAGCCATGTTACAGAAGATCGCCGTGTCCTCTGTGAGTAGAAAGGTAGCGAACAGATGAATCTCCAACCACTGCTCCAGTAATTGGTTTGTCATTATGGAGCACCACAACAGGGATGATATGGACTCAAAAGAGGAAAGTCCACAAGTATGGTCTGAATCTGCTGAGCAGGAGCAGAATACTGCTCAGGTGACTGGCTGCTCTGAGAACTGTCTGTAATGACTTTCTGTAGTCGGTCTTGCTTGCAGGAGCTCAGCCAATGGGTAGTTTCTCTAAAGCCTGCCAGCTTCTGCTTCAAGAACTAAGCTTTCATTTAAGAAGTCTCAACCTGGCCATTATGTTTGCAAAGTTAAGCTTCAGAAAGCAGATGGGCTAGAAGTTAATGCTGTGCCTGAGTTTGCAAACAACCCAAAGAGAGAACTAAAATAAAACCTGCCATCATTTAAATACCACATTGTCCATGATTTCACTGCTGATACAAACTAGGGGTGTGTGAAGGAGACCCTGTTCAATTTGGATTTGGATTCAGCCTGAATTGGGGACAGTGATTTGATCCGTTGATTTGGACCACTGTCCCTGATTCGATTTGGCTGAATTTGAATCTGACCATTCAATGCTGATTCAGTGAATCAGCGATTCAGACACAGGCACAGCTTTTAAAAGTTTTTTCTACGTACCTTGAGGTAGCAGGCGCAGCTTGTGATCACTGTGGTGCTGGGACAGATGGGGCAACCCGCAGCAGCGCGGCGCGCTCTCCAAGGTGCTCGGCAGCCAACCCAGAAGTGAACTGGAACTACTTCCAGTCCGCTTCCAGGTCTGCCGGGGAGCATACAGGCCCCCCCTGGCCCAGCGATCGGCTGCAGGGGCATCCCAGGTGCCCCCCTAGATCAAGGAGGCACCAGTTGCCAAGCTGGGGGAGCACTGAGGGGGGCCCCCAGCATGCTCCCCAGTAGATCCAGAAGTGCTTATAGTCTGCTTCTGGGTCTGCTGCCAAGCACGCTGGGGAGCCTCCCTTCTGTGGGACACTGCATCTGTCCCAGCACTGTAGCGTTCAGAGCCCCTGCTACCTAGACGTACGTAGAAAAAATATTTAAAGCTGTGTCTATGTCCAAATCACCGAATCTGTCCAAATCTCTGAATTGATTCGGAGAGATTAAAGAGTCCTCTGATTCGATTTGGATTCGGAGATTCGGCTGCTGAATCAGGCCAAATCTCCACCGAATCTAATACCGAAGCTTTGCACAGCCCTAATACAAACATGTAGGAAGGGGACATAACATAAAGATTTGCACAATCTGCTGTTAGTGGCATCTCATTTTTGGCATCCTGCCTAGTAGGAGCTGGGGCTATAGGTGGATTACCACAACTCATTTTTCTCCTGCTCATTCTCTAGTTACAGCATAATGTTAATTGGAAAAGGGCATGATGGCAACAGAAATGCAAAATCTGCAGTGACCTATAGGGCCAAATCCTGCTTACCTTCTTTACACATAAATAAGACAAGATTTTGGCCCACAATATTGATACGCTGGATATCTGTACAGTTAAATTTTTAGTTTATTGATGCTGAACTATGTGACTAGCTGTCCTGTTCTACCCTTGACAAGGTTCCATTTCAGATGTGAATGAAAATCTTCCCCATATATGAGTTACTATAATAAAACACTTTGGAGATCCCTTTGCATACATATCTTCCTGTTTATCTATATTCATAATAAAGTGAGATTTTATTTTTTAGTAATAGTGAATATCTAAGTTACTGTCTTTGTTAGATTATGTCAGGGTCAGGAAGATGTAAAATAGCATGTTCTTGCTATGCTTGTAATTTATCTAGGTCTTCTAGGTGAAAATAACATTTATTTAAAAGAACATGTTCACGAATGGAGGAGGAATAACATTTTTAAAAGTACTCAAGTAAAATTTCTTATTTCATGTTTTTATCTTTTTTCCAATTCACTGTCATTTTTTTAAGATTTAAAATTTGATAAGATACAGTTATGCTGATGGTCAGAGCAAGTTGGAGGATTAAAATGAAAATTTAAAATGTTTATTGTAGCTCACTAAAGCATTTCTATTAATTTTAGCTTTTCTGAATAGTTTAGGTAATTTTTTGAGGCAATCTGGTATCTGACCAAGATCGTGAGCAAGTCCAAAGAATTTGACTTTCCTAATTACTTGATTTTTTTGGACTTGAAGGAACCACATTTCTCTATGCTTAGGTTTCAGTACCCATTAAACATTATCTCTTGCACTTGGGAATTGTAAGGATTAACAGATACTTACACAGTGCCCTCTAAATGCATTGTATTATGTGCATTGTTATTAATAGGTTTTATAAGATATTTTGTATAATCTACATTTAGCACCTATGCTAATATAGTCAGTCTTTTCCTGGCTGGGGTGGGGGGAATCTCAAAAGACTAAATAAAACTAAGCAGGCAAGGTTCTTTGGAGAGACATGGTATATTTTATTAGATGAACTAAATAGTTGGAAAAAAATGTTCTTTTCAAGCTTCCAGGCACGAACATCCTTCTTTAGGCATAAGAAGACTCTGCTGGTGTTATGTTGCTAGCAGAGTCTCCCTGTGCTTGAAGAAGTACTATTTAGTTGGTCTAATAAAAGATATCGCATCTACCCAAGGAACCTTGCCTGCCTATGTCCTTAGACCAACACGGCTACAACCAACAACCCTGCAACATGGTAAATAAAATTAATTACTTTATAGCATTTTATATTTACAAAACAAGATGTTATTTAAAACCGTGAAAATACAGTATCTGCATACAATCTGGCTAAGATATTTTGAAAAAGGATACTTAAAGTTAGATTTGTATTTAAGTGGCCCAGTTTACCTAAGTGCTGAACGTTCAGTTCTGGAATTGAATATTTTTTAGTTAGCAGTCAGCCTGAGAATACTAGCTTATTGCAGATGGGCTGCTGAACAGCTAGGTGGAAGATAACATTTTTTGTTCATTATCACATTGTTAGATTTGAACTGCTGTCCTGGGGATGTATTTCTTTAGCAATCTTAGGACCCATAATTAAATACTTTTGATTTATATTTTTCTTAATTAAATGGCCATATTTTCTACTAATACTCCATGGGCATGTTACAGGGGAACAATCAAACACATATCAGAGATGCAATGATGTTACTGGAAGCATATCTACAAAGTTAATAATTATTAGCCATTCAGCAAATAAGAACCAAATAATTACTAACCAAATATAAGGCTAATTGAATGAACTAATAAAAATTCAGAAAGCTATATTAACATTTCAAGTATAGATTAGTTGTGTTTTGCAAATTTCAAAATGGAGAAGAATGATTTAAGAACTAGTTCAAGGAAGGCCCCAAATAAGTACATCTCTAGTTAACATGCAGAGTGAAAAGGAAAAACAGTAATGGTTTTTATATCCAGGTTTCTACCTTGCTCATATTTAGCTTAGACTTTCTGATCCAAATTTCACAATGATTTTTGGCTTGCTTTCATAATTGGCTGCCATTTGGATTCAAGGGGTTTTTTCATTGTCTGTCTGTTCATGGATGCTCAGACATAGGCATGAGTCTATAAATATGTATTTAAATGTCTTGTTTTACGTTTCTCTTCCAGGTGCACTTTGTCCCGGAAGGTGGAACAGTGGCACAGATTGTGTACAGTGATGATCAGGACCGTCCTCCACAGCAGGTGGTCTATACAGCAGATGGCACCTCCTACACCTCAGTGGACACCTCGGAGCACACACTTGTTTACATCCACCCTGTGGAAGCCACGCAGGCATGTGCAGTTGTGTATCCAGTCCCTTTCCCCCCTGTGCAGACTCTAAAAAGAAAAATATTTGTTCAGGCTTAAAGCCATCTACTTTTGAAGCATTGTGATTATAGGATCAGAGGCAAACAGGGATGGAAGGGACCTCACAAGGTCATCTAGTTCAGCTTCCTGCTCAAGGCAGGATCGTCCTAGCTAAATGTCTGTCCGGTCTGCTCTTGAAAATTTCCAAGGATGGAAATTCCTGTTCCCAAGCTATGACCATTCTCACAGTTGGAGAGTTCTTCCTGAAATTCAACCTAAATTTTCTTTGCTGCAGCTAGAGGCCATTGCTCCTAGTCCTCTCCCCTAAGGCCACTGAGAAAAACCCATCTCCATCCCCTCTTTAATCACCCTCCAGATATTTGAAGACTGCTATCAAATCCCCATTCAGTCTTCTCTTCTCCAGACTAAATCACCCTAGTTATTTCAGCCTTTCCTCCTAAGTCTTGCCTCCCAGACCCCTAATCATTTTTGTCACTCTGTGCTCGACTCTCTCTAATTTGTCCACATCCTTCTTGAAGTGTGGGGCCCAAAACTGGACAGAGTACTCCAGGTGAGGTCTCATCAGTGCTGAATAGAGAGGAAGAATCACCTCCCTTTGTTTGCAAGATACAATCCAGGATGCTGTTAGGTTTTTTTTTTTTTTTTTTTTTTTTTGCAACTGTTGATTTATATTCAGTTTATGGCCCACTGTAACCCCTACATCTTTCTCTCTAATACTGCATCTTAGCCATCCATTCCCCAGTCTGTATTTCTGTATGCAATTATTCCATCCCAAGTTCAGGACTTTTCATTTGTCCATGTTGAATCTGATCTAACTAATTGCAGGCCATTCTTCCAGTTTGTCCAGGTAATTCTGGATCCTAGCCCTACCCTCCAAAGTGTCTATGACTCCATCCAACTTGGTGTCATCTGCAAATTCACTAAGCATGCACTCAATACTGTCATCCAAACCATTAATGAAGATGTTAAACAGTACCAGACCTAGGATAGACCTCTGGAGAACTCCACTTGACACCTTCTCCCAGCTAGTCATTGAGCCATTGATGACTACTTGCTGAGCATGATGACCCAACCAGTTATATATCCACTAAGGCTGTGCAAAGCTACAGTCCCTGATTCAATTCAGTGGAGATTTGGCCCAATTCGGTGACCGAATCTCCAAATTCAATTCGAATCCGAGGACCCTTTAATCTCTCCAAATTGAATCGGAACCCTTCTAATTGATTTGGAGAGATTTGGAAAGATTTGGATGTAGACACAGCTTTAAATGTTTTTTCTATGTACCTCTAGGTAGCAGGGGCTGCGATGCTGGGGCACATGGAGTGTCCCACAGAAGCACTGGGGGCTCCCCAGCATGCTTGGCAGCAGACCCGGAAGTGAACCAGAAGCACTGGGGGATGGTCCCCTGGTTTGGTGACTGGTGCTTCCTGGGTTACGGGGGGAGGGGTGCCCAGCGCACTCCCCAGCACACCTGGAAGTGGATCGGAAGTACTTCCAGTCCACTTTCGGGTTTGCCACTGAGTATGTGGAGGGCACTCCTGTGGGATGCTCCAGCATTGCAGCATCACAAGCTGCGCTGGTACCTCTAGGTATGTAGAAAATTTTTTTAAAGCTGTGTCTATGTCTGAATCGCTGATTCTCCAAATCAGCATTGACTCTTCAGATTCGGGTTTAGCCAAATCAAATCGGGGACAGTGATCCAAATCAACAAATCGAATCAGTGTCCCTGATTTGGGCCAAATCTGAATCAAATAGGGCCCGTTTTGCACATCCCTAATATCCACATTACAGTGTTTTCATCTAGTCTGTCTTTCCTTCGACTGATAATGAGAATGTTGTGGGACACAGTGTCAAAATTCTGCTAAAGTCAAGGTATATTACATCCACTACTCTGCCCCCAATTCACAGAGCCTGTCACCTTATCGTAGAAGGGAATCAGGTTGGTCAGGCACAACTTGCTTGGTAACTCCATTCTGACTGTTCCCCAGTGCCACCCCCAGTGCTCCTTCCTGCGCATGGCAGGGGGTCGGACTAGATGATCTGTCTAGGTCCCTTCCGACTCATTGATTCTATGATTCTGTGGTTCCTGATCACTTTGTTCTCTCAGTGCTTCACGATAGATTCCTTGAGGATCTACTTCATGATCTTTCCAGGTACTGAGGTCAGGCTGACTGGTCTGTAATTCCTCCTTCCCGTTCATAAAACTGGGCACTATATTTGCCCTTTTCCAATCATCTGGAACTTCACCCAGCCTCCACAAGTTCTCAAAGAGGACAGCTAATGGCTCTGAAATTACTTCAGTCAATTCTTTCATTATCCTAGGCTGCATCCCATTTAGTCCTTTTGAACTGAAAGCATCTAGCTTCTCTAAGTAATCCCTAACTTGTTCTGCCATTACTCTAGGCTGTTTGTCCTCCTTCCCTCTCTCCTGCCAAGTGTACCTGTCATCTGATAGCTGTCCTATTTGTGAAGACTGAAGTAAAAGAGGCATTAACTACTTTAGCCTTCTCTGCATCAACTGTAAACTAGATTGCCATCTGCTGTCTGTAAGAAAATTGTGATTTCTTTGGTCTTCCTCTTACTTTTGACATACTTGTAGAATCCCTTTTTATGATCTTTTATGTCCCTTGGCAGTGGCATCTCAGATCATGCTTTGGCCTTTCCAAGTTTCTCCCTACATGGCCATGCAATACTTTGATACTCTTCCCTAGTACTATGAACAAGTTTTTTGTAGGATTCATTTCTGAGTTTCAACTCATTGAAGAGATTGCTGTCTAGCCAGCTTGGCCTCCTGTTCCACTTCCCATTCTTCTGTCGCATTGCTCCTATGCCCTTTAAGGGTCCTCCTCACCTGGCCAACTCACCTGGACCCTCTACCCCTCACACTTGCATCCCAGGGAATCCTGCCCAGCAGTTCCCTGAGTTTGCTAAAGTTTCCTTTTCTGAAAGTTCATTTTCTTTATTCTGCTGTTCTCTTTCCTTTTTCCCCTTAGGATCTTGAACTCTATCATTTCATGGTTGCTATTACACAAGTTGCCTTACACCTTCACATTTTCAACAAAGGCCTACCTGTTTGTGAGCAGCAAATCAAGAAGAGCTTTCCCCCTACTTGCTCTGTCTGTCAGTTGTATCAAAAAATATCCCCAATACACTCCAAAAAATTCCTGGACTGCTCGTGCATTTATGATAGTGTGATGATTACAGGTTTCTCTTGCCAGCCATGGTTTTGCCAACCACAGTTTTGAGTAGCCACACTTAATATTCTATATACCATTTTGGCTACCACAGTATATAGTTTTGAGTAACCACGGTTTTCCATGGCTACACAGCAGCCTGCCATCTGCCATTTTTCCCATAAGCCTTTTGTCTTGCCAACCATGGTTTTGCTAACCAAAAGAACTTTTAGAAACCTAACCCCAGCAGTTGGTAAGGGAAACCTGTATTAGCTGGGCATAACCACGTAGCCCTTGGTAAATGGGGAGTTCATAATGTTTATTTGAAACAAATGTGGGAGTCCAGAGATGATGAGGCTTTAAGAGATGCTGGTCTGGCAATTTCACTTTGGTTCAACTGGCCTGTAACTGAATCAAAGGTGCTCTTAAAATGCTGATGATTGTTATAGATGCTGCACCTCACTTACCTTCCATAAAATGGTAAAAGCTTTAGGCCATGAATATTTAGGAATGGGAAGAAGTGCTGCTTAATCTATGCTTTTTCTGGAAGTGGGTTCCTTTATTTGCACAGCCAGTTCTTGAAATTAATGATGATAATAACAATACATCCTGCACTTGTATAACACTTCTTTTCAGAGGGCCTCAAGAAAGCATGGGATTTAATCTTGCGGTTTTTGGTCAGACAAAACTATTGTTTTTAGAGGGATGCCTTTTGTTAAATTAAATAATTGTTAAATTAAATAGCTAATAACTGCTGCCCCAGCAGTCTATATGAAGTGCATGAATGTGTGTGTGCATGTATGTATCTCTCTCTGTCTATATGTAATAATATTGAGAGAATAGATTTTGTCAAGAGCTGTTAGTCAGCCCTTTGCTGATGTTGCAAGGTTAATATCTATACTATAAAAGGCCTGTATTTGATACGTGGCTCAATGCTGGCATTGTGTTCTGCTCCATGTTCTCTATACAGCATATAGCTCCCAACTACTAAACATATAATTTCATGGACTGTGGGCTATGGATCCCATCCAGATTCTGCAAGAAGTGGGGATGGTGATTCAGTGGGTGGCTCTTTGTGTTACGGAAACAGTGCTGGAGGTATCATCTTTCAGTTTTTAGATTAAAAACTGCCATCCTGACCACTTGTAGTCATGAAAGATTTCATGGCAAATTCAGCGTGAGATTGGTTTGATATCTGATGCATCTTCTTTTCCCCAGCAGTTTTCAGTTGAATACAGCATTGTTTACTTCCTGCCATCAGCAGTAATGTAATGTTACTGAGCACCATCAAATAACTGTTGTATTTCATCCTAGAAGGATTGCATTTTAAAACAGGCAAAGTGACTTCTATACATAACATCAATAAAGCCTTTAAAGCCCTTTTGGTATGCAGATGAAAGGTGCCAGATAAACGAGAGATCAGTATTCTTATATGGAAAAGTCACTAGAGTGTCATTTTAATTTCTCTATATATAGGCTCGTTGGGGTAAGTTGAATACAGCTGCCATGGCAATAAGCATTTTAGAAACTTCACAAACTCAATAATTCTTGTATAGGTTGCTTCTCAGCAGGGGAGTAATTCATCTTGTGTGAGATGGAATTAAACTATCCTAAGGCCAGTTTGATAAGCCTTTTTCACTTTGTCTAGACTCTGTTTACAGATCCGTCCCAAGTGGCTTATGTCCAGCAAGATGCCACAACACAGCAGGTAAGAAGCACCTTTTTCTATTAAATCTTGAGTACCATAATAAGGAAACTGAGAAGCAGTGCAAAGAGACACTTACAGGTGTATATTCTATTATAAGACTTTGAGATTTGTCCAAAGGAGATTGTGTTCTCTCTCAGTTATTCACCAGCAGCACAATGATCACAAGCAGCCAATCCTGGAGTAATAAGCTAGGGCTAGCTTGTCCAACGTGTTTATGATTGGAGAAAAAACATTTTAACAAAGTGTGTTTAATTTTGAGCTTAAAAGGAATTTTGTTACTAAAATCGTGATTCTCTTTTTCCCTAACATGATGAATATTGTGTCCTTTGAAACCTGTGTGTCAGTTTCTTGGGGTTTTTAACATAATTACAGGTATGTGAGGGTCTTCATATAGGGTCTCATCCAAAAGCCATTAAAGTGAATTGGAGTTCACTGTTGCCAGTAGACTGAAACTCTGAACTGGGCTCTAATATTCTTTAAAACCGTCAATCATTGGCTCCCAGGTCTTATACCCATATTACAGATGTCCTTGACTTGCACACTCATGTGGAATTGAGTAGAAGCAGCATGGAATTAAGGACTATGGTTGTGAAGTTTAGATGATGAAGAAGAAAATATAGGATGGGTGGCAGGGAGTTGTTCTTTATTGAATCTAATATGTCTGTAGAGATGGGATGTTGAGGAAATGTTAAGAAAATATGGATCCTTTCATTTCTAGGTCACTGGTTCAAACTCGTCTCTGGTTGATAGTGACCTTAAATCATCATTATTTGCTAGGTGTTTAGTGGTCTGTGTGAAGTGAAAATGGTTGGTCTCAATTTGTTCCATAATAAAGAAGTGAGCTTTAACATTGATGTTAATTTGTAATCCTCTCGATGTTCTCAGTGGAGGGAAGAAAGATTGAATAGACAGAGAGAATAAACTTCTGTATATTAGAAGAAAACCCTTCAAATTGGAGTTGAGTCACGTTGGCAGAGAGCAATTTGAGAGGAGCTTGCTGTGTTGGTCTCTGTCCCTGTTGTGGTTAGAAAGCTTCAGTGTTCTGAGTTGTCCATTAGGCAGTTCTCACCAGACTAGAGTCATGTTTAAAAAAAAAAATGTAAAGCCCACATGTACTCCTGCCTCTTAAACCAGTGCCCTTTTAGCAGCCTTTTAACAGTAAACATGGGATCAAACTTAAGATCCTAACCCTTATTCACACTCTGCAAGTTATGTACTTAAAACACCAGCAGAGAGTGCTGGCTTCTGTCATCACGCCTGCGGTATCTCTTGATAATGACAGGACATGCCACCTAGGGCCTAAATACTTTATCTCTGTGTCCCCAGCCCTTCCATCAAAGGTTCATCTCATACCAGCACCCACAGCATTTCCAAGGCAGGGATTTCTAGTTTGTTTGTGAATTGTTGTCATATCATTAGGGCAGCTGCTGCTTTTGCAGATTTTTTATGTAGACATTTCCTGTAAGAAATCCCTGAACTAATCAGTTGTTAAAACAATAAATAATTATGTACAGTACATTTATGTTTTGACATCTGGTATATGTAGGAGGTGGTACTGTGATGTATATGGACACAAGCTTTATATGAGGTTCTCATTGATGGCTGTTCTGGAGGCCTGCAGTTAAATAATGATGCCGTTTACATTGCGATTTGGCATGAGGAATAGCAATACCAGACAGTGCACTTCAGCTGTTGTTCTGGCTGTTTCCTAGTCAGTGCTGTTCCCCACAGTCTTCTGTAGCCATCATTGTAAAGCTGTCTCATAAATTGCATCAATTAAACCAAAAACAACAACCAACTCCAAATTATTTTAATATACAAATTCCTAATAGGTTTGGTTCCCTGAGCCTGTGTTTCCCAGGCACCTGGGGAGCTGGACTAATTTACCAGTCACTAATATAGCAGCCAGTACTTCTATTCACTTGTGCCCAACTTGTCCACAGTGGAGCCTGGGCTGTTTTCTAGAGCAGAACTAGAGATAGAAGACTGATGCTGTTATGTGGAGGGTGGGTCTGTCCTGCTCTGTCACCCCCGATTGCATACTTTTTGTGTGTGTGTTTTATTTGATTATTATTTAGCCTTCCCAAAGCTTTCTATAGGTGGACAAGGGTGTATGTCTCAGTGTGAAAACTGCTTATGCAATTATATGCAAAAGCTAACACTACTGCAATGTTAAGGGTTAAGAAAGGTGAAAATTGAGATAGCCCAGTGGTGCCCAGGATGTAAACAGACAGAAGAATAGTTCCATAGATATCAGTTCCATAGATAATAGAATTCAGGACTCAAAAGTAAAGACAGATCATTTCTGGTAATGTTACCTCAGATACATTAACCTGCTACAATGTGCTATGGTTGAAGTAAATCAATACACACAATGCTGTAAATTAAGATTTTGCTACTATAACAAGGAGTAATACTGGGAACTAATGTTACAGATGTGCAATGTGACCGCATGGGGAAGTAGGTAAAAATAACTTTAAAATTCTCTGGTGCATAATTGCACAACTGTAATCTTGTAATCCTTATTTATATCACTGGTAGGTTTTAGAAAAAGAAACGGAGAAAAACAGAGGAGATGTATTTTTTGCAATGGAAAATCGAAAGAGAGGGAAAAGTATAGATATGGGAAGAACCAAAGTAAAACCAAAGTCCGCAGTTCATTAGTCTTAACAGGAATCAACCAGCTAAGGGCGTTAAACCCTCTTGTCTCTGGTATAGTTTTAATCCCAGACCATACCAACATAAAGTTAAAACTAAAAACTGGAGATGAAAAATTCCAAAGCAGCAATATTTCAATGTGGAGTGAAAGCTCCACATCCCCTTTTCCTCTGAAATCTGGAATGTGTGGAGCTTTGTTCAAGACCATAATTTTTTTTTAAGTGCACTTTTTTGTGTAGCATAGGGTTCCAGGAAACTTTGCATGCAGGGCACTGCCCATATGTAAATGACTGATAGAAATGACGCAGTGCTAAAATGAGTGCCTATAATTTTAGGTAACTGTGCTCTTGCCTGCTGCTGCTCAGAGCATGAATCCCACCAACCTCTCCGTGCTCGGCAACGTTGCCGAATCCCCACAGCAAATGGCTCTGGAGCAGGGTCCACAAGCAGATAGAGTAAGTTGCTAGGCACTCTTGTCTTTTAAATGTAAACGTACTCTCATTTCATTGCTCCATTGAAACAGATGACCAAATATGTTTGAGTGATATGCAAAGAAATGCAAAAAGTTTTAGTGCAGGTTTTGAAAGTGTATTACGGTCTCACCATCTAATGTGGGGATTTTAGGGAAGACGATTTGTTTAACGTGCAGTGAAAGCTATTCTTTGAATTCTTCTGTCATCTATAACCACTTGAAAGTATTCCTCCAAGATCTGAAATCTTAAATTTAGCAAAAGGTAATTCCTACTATATATGGCCAGCGTCCTCTGGTCTTTTTGTTAGTCCCCTGCTAAGACAGGTTTTACCTTTTATAATATTTCTTATTCTTTTTCCTGAGATACCTGTTTGGGATGTGGGGTATTTATGTACTTTGTATAGCATTTACATTTGCTTTCTACACAGGGGCAAAGTAAAATTACACACATATTCTGAAATCCCATAGCTGTCTTCCATATCCTATGTTATAGGTGTTTGATTTTAATTATCTCCTGCCTTACTGAGTTTTGTATGTGTGCTTGGTGGATTGTTTTCACTTTTTTATGGTAGGAGGGCAAAATCATTGGTCAAAATATTCAGTGCTCACAATTAATAAATTAAAATAGAGGACTGAGACCCTAGATAAGTTCTTCAAACATAAATGGGGAGAGAAATGTGTTTAATTGTAAAGACCCTCTGTGAGGATTCAGAATTTTTTTGACTTGATGTATCCTTCTAAAAAGTCACTATTTTCTCTGGTCGAGTTGATATCGTCACAGAGCCCTTCCCAGCAAGGGTCACCACAGCATCAGCAGTGAAACATTACAGGGCACAGGACGTCAACAGTCATAAACTGTGGTTTCACTCTCCCTCACTTTGCTTGTTTACCAAAGGAAACAAAGCATAGAGTAGACTAGCAAAAACTTCATTTTTTTGCCTTTGTAACTGAGAAGATTGTGTGGTGGTAAGCATATGTTCACTGTTGTTGGAAATTTGGCCTAAGTTTGTGTTTTGAACTCTTTCCTCAGGCATCGTTACCGGTGCATAACCAGGTGTTACCTCCTATGGAGGCAGTGGATAGTTCTGATCCTTTGGCACCTCTTCAGACCCAAATGGAAACAAAGGAGGAAGATGAGGAGGAGGAGGAAGAGGATGAAGAAGATGGGGATGACACTGACATGGATGAATGGGATCCAGATCCACCTAGACCTTTTGATCCCAATGATCTGTGTAAGAATAAGTGGAAGTGTTTAGCATATAGGCTTCTTCCTGTCCCTGTTCATTTGGGTTTTCCATTCAGCCACTTGGTAAGCAGACTGTTTGTGGCTTTAATTATCATAACCTGCACCCCGAATTGCATTCAGAAACATGTATGCTAATGTTCTAAATTAGAACAGCTAATGTGTTCTGAATTAGCTGGAGCCTTTGAGTTGCCTTCTGGAGGCAAGTGCACTGTTTCTTTAGAAGCAGAGCAGGAAGCTTTGTTTATATATTTTGTTTAAAGATGAAAGCCCTCTGTATTTCAAAGTAGAGACAGCCCATTGGCCTGAGTGCTGTAGTACCTAAGGCTGTTCCTGGCACGTACGACAGGGAGATAATATCTTGTGCCTAAGCGTCTTTCCTGTGCTGGTAGAAGGGAATTTATGACCCATAGTCATGTTCTCTTTTGACTTTGTGTCGCAGGGTGTGAAGAGTGTAATAACGCACATCCCTCAGTATGTCCAAAACATGGACCCCTGCACCCAATCCCAAACCGGCCAGTGCTGACCAGAGCAAGAGCCAGCCTCCCTCTGGTGCTGTACATAGACAGGTTCCTGGGGGGAGTATTTTCTAAAAGACGCATTCCCAAGCGCACGCAGTTTGGCCCTGTGGAGGGACCTCTCGTCAGACAAACTGAACTGAAAGACTGCTACATTCATTTAAAGGTTAGTCGTGCGTGTGTGTGTATGTGTGTGTGTGTGTAACAGTCCAAGTGTCTAGTCTTTTTCATGTATTTAAATCCACAGCGCTGACTTTATTGACAGTATTTTTCTGGCATTCTTATCTTATGCCAGCGCAGCAGTTCCCAAAATTGTACAGCCAGAGAACCCCATAGGTAGCTACAAGCAGATACAAAGCGTTCCTGGTAGGCCTCCTGATATTATGGTGTTGTGACTTATCTATATCTCAACACCAGGTAGTATGACTCTCAAAGAAAAGCAGAGGCTCAACACAAACACCCTGTCCTACTGACAGAGTGAAAATCTTGGCTCTTGCTGCAGTACCTCCTTGGAGAAGCTGTAGTTGTTGGAACAGATTGTTAAAGGCTCTCAGTCCTGTATTATGTAACCACTGCAGAACATTAACTACTGTGTTTTGATTTTTCCTCTCCTTGTGCCTAAGGTGTCTCTTGATAAAGGTGACAGAAAAGACCGGGATTTACAAGAGGACCTGTGGTTTGAACTGTCCAGTGAGGCTTTGTGTAATTGGATGATGTTTGTGCGGCCAGCCCAAAACCACCTGGAACAGAACCTAGTGGCCTACCAATATGGCCATCACATTTACTATACAACGATTAAGAACGTAGAGCCCAAACAGGAACTCAAAGTATGTAACTGTTTACACTTTGTAGTTCATCTTTACTGTGAGAAAAAATGTAAATTGAATTGTACAACATATTCCAAATGCCCAGCATAGCTGTGATCCCACCTACACTAAAGATTTAAGCTGTATTGCCATCATGTTCCTTGACTTGGTTGTAATTATGGAATAGACAAGATCTTTATCATTAGGGTTTATTGTTCTGGGATAATGAGGGCAATCTGCCTTGATAATGCATATTGGGGTCTGAATCGAGCATTTTGAACTCAGTTGAAAGACTCTTATTTAACTAGCAGGCTTTGGATCAGACCCTTAATGAGGAAGTCTAACAAAAAAGTATGTAGAGAACTGTCTCCTGCTTTTTACTAGTAGCAGCCATTTCTTACACTCCATTGTTTATATCCTAACTTGATCTTCAGCCACTTACAGCTGTCTTTCTTCTCTCGTTAGCCCCACACTTACATGAATATGACTGGCTGCCTCTGTAACAAGTTATCTGTATGTGGATGTGACCTCTTCAGCCTGCTTTCTTGTGACTTTTGAAGCTTAGACAGAACATATGGAATCTAGTTTTTGATGCTTCTGATTAAGAACATTGTGACTTACTTGTGAATTACTTTTTTAATTCAGGTGCGCTCAGACTGGGGCAATTGAGAAAGACAACTTTAATTATAAACGTCCAGTTTGATGACTGGAAGAGTAACAAAAAGTCACATTGCTTTTGTCTGGCATTTTCTGGGTCTCTTCTGTCCAAGCACAGGAATTTTGTTAGGTGTATTTACACCAGTACATAAACCCATGTAGACACTTTTTATTTTAAGTGGAACCATTTCTTATTTCACTTTAAAGTTATACCTAATCATTTAACATGTGTCAGTAGAAGCCAGAGGATTCACTATGAAAGCAGTAAAGGTGTCTGTGTGCACCCACCTGTCCTGAGAGGTGTGAGTTCATCCCTGCTCTTGGGTTGTGTTGAAAGCTGCCTCCTGTTGACCCAGCTGTAAATGGTACCTGATTGTTCAGGCTGGGGACTCGGAGGTGTCTGGACATGATACTAGTCACGTCCATTCCTTGTGTACTTTTGGTTATAGAAGCTGGCTTGCCTCAACCACACTAGCCTGACTGATCTCTCACGTTTGACTTGACGTGAGTAGAAGCCTGGATTATATTAGTTTTCCAACTGTTTAACTAAAACAGTTTTAAATCAAACTTTAGTTAAAACTTATGTATAGACAAACCATTAATCTCATTCCCTTCATTAGATGTGTCATTTGGGGTTTAAATCAGGCTAATAATGGAAAGCGATTTTCTTCAGCACCATCATGTTTTCTTTCTTTCAGCTAGATTGGATTTTCATCATTGGTGTAGGTAATCAGTTGCGTGCAAGGATGGAGCTGGGAGGATCATTTAGCAGAAGCTGTGGGAACCCTTGCATTGCTTGACAGACTGAGAGACTGGTGTTGTTAATGAGCTGTTGGTTTCCCTTTAACCATAAATATTTGTCCTCTTATTGAGGTTCTTGGAGAATAATACATGTCCACGAATGGCTCCATCAGCGGGTCAGGAGTGTAATTTTTGCCACTGCAATAAGCATGCTTAACCCCATAGCAATTTTCTGTCTTGCTTACTGTCATTTCTTCCTCTGTCAACTTCTTAAATTTCTATTTTCTAAATGAAGTGGGAACCAGACAGTTGAAGCCTAACAGGTGTCGTTGTCCGTTCCCCCACCCTGGGAAAGAGGACCACATTGATTCAAACAGCTATTACCTTAGACAAATTTTAAATGAGTCTTCACAGGCTATACACACCTATGCTCAAATACACATACGAGTTCTGTATTGGAATCCTTTAAGGTCATATAGACAGATCTAGCAAGATTAATCTAACTTCTTTGTAGAGGTAACAGTATGTGAGATGAAGAGTCATATTAGGAAACTGTACCTTAAAATTAAATGGGTGTATTATGTAAGCAGTTCTGTTTTACTCCCCAGTGGGGGCACACTGAACTCAACAGGGTTTATTATCAAGGTTAGAGGAGCAATAAAAGTTACTAGTTCAGCTGAGAAGCTCCAAGGAATGAGACTTCAAGCCTCCAACTAATTCCCCTTTACTCTGGGTTCATTTAAGAAAATGTCTTTTTGCCTTACGTGTTTGCTCCAGGTGTGGTATGCTGCTTCCTATGCAGAGTTTGTGAACCAGAAGATCCATGATATATCTGAAGAGGAGAGGAAAGGTAATTGGGTGCTTTGTTTTTCCCCTCATCTGTGTGGCTGTGTTGCTGTTATCCAAAAAAAGGTGGCTAAGTTTATCACCTATCATTGCATTCTATGTGCAAAATTCTCATTAGATCTGAAGAGGAATTGACCTGTGTTAGACCCATGATGCTGGATCCTCCATTTGTTATTACATGTGCTAACATAAGGATAATTCAACTTTGTGCATCAGGGCTTTGGTTAATTTTCAGAGGGTAAGAATGGAATTTTCTTTTGTGTACCTGGATATATTACTGAGTATTGTAACTCTGTTTAACCAAATGCAAAGGGATTGATTTTTGATGGTCACTTCATTCAAGTTTAATTTCTGCATATTTTGGCTTCTAAGTTTTAATGATTTATTTGACACTTCCTTTAGGTATTTACAAATGCAACTTAACATAGGAAATTTGTTAGGAGAACTTGGGGCTAATGTCACTATTTAATAAATTTCTCCTTTTCATTACAAATGCTCCTCAGTCCCATTCATTGTTACCCTTGTCTTTGTGCAATTAGCTGGGCTCACACTGTAGTTCAGGGGTGGTCAGGGTGAAGCTTGTAAACCAGTTCGAATTGTGCAGCATGTTCTTCAGTTGGGGCACAAGAATGTGGCCCAGAGAGGACAAGAGGGCCTGGAGAAAATATAAGATATAAATTGGTGGTGACTGAATGGCTGCTATTGCTACTTCCAACTTATAACAGTTCTTCGAGACCAAGAGAAGAACTGGCCATGTTATGAGTGCAATCGTCGCTTTATGAGTTCAGAGCAGCTCCAGCAGCACCTCAACTCCCATGATGAGAAGCTGGACTTCTTTAGCAGGTATTTATTGTTAAGCAGAAGCTATTTCCCAAAGCTCAGTATTTCATGTACTGCTTGTAGGCAATGATGATAGGTGAATCTCAAAAGGCTTTGCTTTATTATGGTTTATGTAGAACTGTAAATGCATGTGGTGCTTTGCAGAACTACTAAAAGAAAGTGCCCCTGCTGAAGTGAGCTCAGAGTCCAATTTGGACAAATATGGTACAGTGCATTAAAAGGCTCAAGAAGCAGAGAGACATTGTTGGGGTGGTGATGTGTCTAGAATACTTTACAAAATACCTGGTTTATATGAGGGGGCAGTAGGAGTGAAATTCTACCCCACTGAAGCCAATGCAAGTTTCACCACAGATTTCAACATGGCCAGGATTTTAGGAATTTGAAGATGTATTGGAATTCTCCAAGCGTCTTGGATATACAGGTTTAGTCTAGAAATCACAAGAGGATGATTTTCCTGATGATATTTTTGTCTTATCAACTTGTTAAAACCTTGTTTCTTCGGCATTTATTTCATACAGCTGGAAATGTTTTCCAGGATGCAAATAGCGTAGGCTGTTAGAAGGAAGAGGGCTGCTTTTGGCTGCCATTGTAAGGAGTCACTGGGAGCCAGTAGTCCCATTGCTTGTCTTTATGATTCTTCATATACTGAAATACATTTCCTTAGCACAGGCTTTTATTTCCAGGAGAAGATGAGATAAAGATCCATTAATCTGAGCACTAGTTTTTGCTGCCAACATTCCTTCAGGTTTTGTGATATACTTTAGGTCATTATTACTGAACTAGGTGGTTTAACAATGATTGCTTAGAACAAAGATGCTGTAAATGAGTGGAATCCAAATCCATTTCCTCCTTCTCTGACTTGGAGCACTGTATGTTCTGCAGAGCAAGAGGCAGAGGTCGTGGACGAGGAAAGCGGCGGTTTGGACCAGGCAGACGGCCAGGGCGCCCTCCCAAATTCATGCGCATGGAAGTAACCAGTGAAAATGGGGAAAAGTGTGAAGAAGGAACACAGGTATACATGGGGAAGGATAGGAGACTGGCATCATCTCTGATGTAACCTCTTTGTTAACAAAAGTAGGGTCAGATTCACTATGTTCCACCAGTGGAAGCCAAGGGTCAGAAAGGACTTCTGATTTATAGCTGTGTAACGGAGACCAGAATGAGGCTCTTCCTTTTTATTATTCTGGCAATGAAACTTCAGCCAGAAGAGAGCAAAGTAATTTGTTTCTATGAAATAAGTTGCATTTCTACAGCACCTTTTCATCCCGAAGCACTTCATCCATCAATGAAATACAGTTATGGGATAAAACGTGACAGCTGCTTAATAGTACCATAATATTGTCCACACCCCTACACAGTAGTATAGGGGGTATTGTGTAAAGGTCACCTTGAGTTGAAACTACAGTGGGAATGTAGGTAAATAGCAGAATTTGTCTTTGACATAAGGGCCCCATTTGTACTCTGGATATTTTTGCTGATGTAATACTGTTAATTAGGGTGTGCTTATTTACAGTGCTTTAATCTTGGTTAAAATCCAGGGGACAGATCTTATTTTCCCTACGACATGCCAAAGCACCTTAGTTTGGTCCTGTTCTTCCCTGTTTGAGTCCCTGAAAAGTCATTAATGTAAAAAATGACTGGGTCCTCCTCCTCCTTGCTGTTCTTTGTGCCTTAGTCTTAAACCTAAGATGGAAAACAGTTGTTGTACCATGCTTTCAGAAACTCAAGCAGGGTAGAAGAGGATCACACACAGGTACCTAAGTACTGGTTAGACATCTGATAGGAGGAATGGGATCTGGTCCCTAGTGTAGGAACAAGTTATACAAGCAGACAGCAAGTCTTTTTGCTGGTGCAGGCTGATTCATGCAGGGAACTAGGTGGATTACTGCTATAGCTAAATCAGCAGAGCCTCTCTGATGTAGACCAGGCCTATGGTTACTGCCGAGCGTTTTATGAAATGTGTCACAAGGGATTAGTGGCTCAGTTTTATGTCTTAGCTGAAAGCTGACATCTGGAGCAGTAATTTGCCCTTTGGCACCATGCTGGAGCATTGGTTCAGTGCTGATTCAGAGGGGAGATTGCATACATTGCATATAAATGATTGTCATTCATCTTGTAATACAAAAGTTAGTGTTTTCCTCAGAGTCCAAGTAATACTAGGTACAACCCCGCTTGGTTTAGCAAATAAGTCGCCAGGTGGGGTGACCACACACAAATCTCACCAAGTATGTCCAAAACTTAGAAAAGCTACCCTCTACTAAAAAAATCCATGCATAGAAACTGTGTGGTAAGAACCTGCTTTATTCAGCATTACTGGGGCGGAGGGATGGAACCTATATAGCAAAGCATCTCATCAGGGAAGTTCTCAAACTCTGGAGCCCTGTAGCTGTGGAGGATTTGCAGTTATCATTGCACTTTGGAGCACAATGAAAAAGACCTTATGCTCTGCTGATTTTGTATTGACTTAGTTTGGTGCAATGTGCTATCCACTGCTTACACACTGACCTTGCTCAGCCTTTCATAGATTTTTAAGTCAGAGGGTCTTTTATCAGCATTTAATCTGACCTGCAGAACACAGACCATAGAATTTCACCCAGTAACTCCTCATAAAACTCCTTAGTGCCCAAACCAGGGTTTGAACTCTGGCCTCAGATTAAAAGTCTCCACTGACTGAGCATTCAGGGCTCATAACAGGCTGTGTTCCTTCTTGGAGTTCCTTTTTTTCTTTTCTGCCAAACCTGCAATACAGATTTGCTGGAAAATCCCTTGAGCTAACACACACTTGGTTCCCTATTACCTAGCTTTTGTCTTGCATACAGTTTCCTAGTTATTTGGTGAGTAAATGGAATTATGATCAATTCTTTTTCTTCGGGGATTGGAATTTTTTATCCCAGAATATGTACTGGAAGCTGGGGGAGGGTGGATTTTGACTTTTTGTGTCTTATTCTGAACACTGCTTCTTCTGAGCTGATGCAAAGAAGCAGAAAAACAGCTCTGATGTTTAATAAATGCAAACTATACACTGCTGGGTATTCCTTCTGCGTAGGTATATCTAGCAGCTTTGCTAGATAGGACAAATTTTGAACATCAAAAGGTCTAGGTTGCAGGGTAGTGGCAAATAATTTTCACAAGAGCTAAACTGTCTGCACTTCCCTGGAGGCCTGGTTTATGCTGAGCATTCCGCTTTAGAGTTTCCCACTGCACCTAATCTGGGTTCATCTCCCTTGATGACAGCATGGGAGGGGTACAAGCATGGGAAGGCCCTTTGTGATTTAACTGCTATACCGTCCTGATCCATGAGACAACGTGGTAGCTAGGATGGGTAGGAGTGTCCACCTGCAGCCCTGTCTACACGAGTGCTACACATGTTGCATACTATCAGTAAAGCTAAACTGATGTTAGCAACAATGGGACGTTTTGGAGGAGCTATGTCAGTATGGACACAGCCTGCATGTAATGAGTGTGAGCATTTAAAATATGCAGGAGTCTGACTACCTGCCAATTGAGTATTGTTAGAGCCTCTTTCAGTGGGTGGGGGGAATAATCACTAGCTGTATGATTTGCGATTTCAGGACTTGCTGCATTTTTCCAGCAAGGGGCAGTTTGATGAGGCTGGACAAACGACACTGAATGGGCTGGAACAGCAGGAGCAGACTCCAGTGCCACCAGAGACGCAGTCAGCACTGGATCAACAGCCAGAAGGCCACCCACTGCAGCTCCAGCAACAGCATGATGACAACGTGGTGCCTACGCAAAGCACCATGACAGCGGATGACATGCGGCGAGCAAAGCGTATTAGGGTAAGTGAAGAGGGTGGAGGCTCTTGCCCCCTTCCCCCCCTTTCTCCCTGGTTTAACTTGTGGAAGTCATGATTTGCCAGCTGGTAGTGGCTGGTCTTTTCCCCCCGGTGTAGTGTCTGTATCCAAATCCCAAGCACAGCGTCTCATGTCCGGCAAATTCCCTTGTTCTGAAACTAAGACAAACCTCATGCAACGAGTTAGTGTCTCGTGAGATGTAGTGAGACTTGGTCATCAGTTGGAGCTGGTTCAATTCCAGCACAGTAATTCTTTCATAGAAACATGGTCTGTCCAAGCTGGCAAGTGGGAATGCTCCAAACAGCCGGCTGAATCCTGGTGCTGTGGCATGGACTAATGGCCTGTTCAGAGCACCATCTGTGTGTCTCACAAATCTATTTGCTTTAGAATTTGTTGCCAAAGAGGCATCCTCGCCCCAGTTTGTCTCTGTTCATTCAGATGATGCTGATGGTGACTTTCAATGATAACATTCCTTTGTTGGAATCAAAAAATCTCCCCCCTTTGTGATTAAAGCCTGGGCTAAGAACTTTGCATGCCAGGAACAAATGCTTTGAACCTGTGCTTTGTGCTAACTGAGAGAGCTGCTTTTCCACTATGTGTGGGAGGGAAATGATTGAGGCAAATAATCCTCCAAAGCAATAACTGTGTGATGGGTTTATTCTCTTTTTCTTTCTCCTCCATGTGTAAAATTGTGATTATAGAAGGGAACAGCTGCAAACGGGTTGAGACTTCAGTTTTAGGAGATGAGAGAGAGGGGATTAAAAAAAGAGTCAGTGAGTAATTCTCTTGGAAGACTGCAGCCAAATTTTATTCTCAGTTTAAACCAGTGTGTGTATGAGACAATCAGTGCTCCCAAGTTACAGTGACATATCAGAAAGCATAATATAGGCCAGTCATATAAGTATGGACCTGATAAAAGGGCTTGGTGTCTCTGAATGACAAGCTTATGCTATCAGTTTAACTCCAAGTTGCCAAACAAGGTGGAAGCAATGTTCTGGGAACTGGTCTTTCTGCTGATCTTCCTCTCCATTAACAATACAAGCTTTGAAATGGTGTGTTCACCAGCACCACTAGGAATATGGCTGGTAGGGGCAGATAGAGGGCAAACTATTAGTTAAGAGCCAGTGGCTGAAGCTCTGATAAGAAATAGCATTGGGCCTAATCTCACACATGTTGAGATTCACTCTTTTAGTGCAATTTTTTTCCTGAAAGCTGCAGCCCTGGGTTTGGGGGAGAGAAATGGTTTCACTTGTTTGCCATAACTACTAGATTTAAGAAGGCCTGGAAGCCTTGCAAGAGAAGGGCGAGAGATTGCAAGCTGGTTTGTCTCATGCATTAGTCTGTGTTTCCTGGAAATTTGGAAGTGGGTTACAGGGCAGATGAGCAAGGTGCTGGGTTAGTCTTCTGTGATAGGTTTATATCACAGACCTCTTCCCCTTTATCTCATCAGAGTGGCACATTTGGCAGCAATTTGTTAGCAGAGTTCTATAATTGCAAAACAAAGGTTCTTCAAATCAGGGGCATCCGGCGAAGTGCATGTGGCATAGTTGCACGGTGTCCACCTATCCTCAAACTGTGAGCAGTGCTTGCATTCTCTGATTTACAAGAGGATTTCAGCTAGGGAATTGTCACCGGACATTTTAACCGTAAGATCTGACATCAAACTATGGCAATTTGTGAGAACTTACAAATCAAATATGTGCACAATTCACTACACCCTTTTATTTCTGTGGGGAGACAAAAGTGTCATAAACCAGCCAAGGGAAGCTGGAGTGCTGGCTTTAAATGTGGAAATGTCCTTTGTTTTCAAAGAACAGGAAAGGTCTAATGTTGAAGTGTGTGGAAATATACCAGGATGTGGCAGGTTTTTTTGAATTGCCATGGTGAGAATCTGCCCTGGTGTCTACCTTTTTACAAATTCC